CGAAACAGTGTGAATTTCAACCCATATTTAGATCCGTTAATTTGGATTTATCTGAAAATAAATTCAACGTCGCACCAGATGACCGGCAATCTTCAGAATATCTTAAAATGTTGAGAATATAACAAGAGTTGTAAAAATTACACTAAGCATTCGTAGCACAGTATGTCTCCTCACAATCAAATATAATCCCTTAATAATGCCCAAGACGTTTTACACCAAAGATTGTTACTGCTCTGTTGGAACAGAGATACTTGTACCTCGTGAACTGGAGTAAAAAAAATAATAATAATCAAAACCTCTAGTGAGATTTATAAAAGAAACCAGCCCTAATTCAATAGCATAAGGATCTCTGTTTCCAATTAAAGAAGATGGCATTCTGAGTATTCCCCCCCTCCATCTTCTTTCTACAATTAAAGTAACAGGATAGCAAATAGTAAGCTATCCTAACTCCGTCACAGAATAGGCAATGTTCTGAATGCATTCAAATATCCTGCTTTCGGCGTAAAAGTATGCAGTGTGTCCCTTCTTTAGGAACTTATTCAAGTTTTGGTGAAGTTCCTCCTTTACGCAATGCTTGATACTCATTAGTCCAATAATCGCCTGCACACATACACTTTCCCTCTCTTTGACCTTGCTCGGTTGCCCTGCTGCCAGCAAAATGTACCAGAATTGGACCTAATGGCCGCTGAGGAGGCATGAAGACCCTTCATCCACCCAGTTCAACCTTTCAGACAGACGTAACGGTCCTCACTTTGGCTGACAGAGCTTGCTTAAACCTTCTCTTCAGGTCTTGCATGTTGGGCGACTTGGGCCTCGGGATGAGAGAACCCCTCCGTTTCTCTGGGGTGCCCGTGGCTTGCCGCTTGCTGACTTCTTTGCACAAGCTGTGGAAGGCACAGAATACCTCTTTGTAGTTCTCACTGACAGACACTTCGTAGAAATTACAGCCCAGCAGGCCGGCCAGCTGAAGTCCGTGCTGTGGTTCTACTTCTTTAACATGGAGCAGATCGGCTTTGTTGGCTACAATAACGACGGGCACGCGATTTCCGGGATGCACCTGCCGTATGTGCTGGTGGACGTGGCCAAGGAGTTCATAACTTTTGTGATCGGTAATCGAAAAGACGATTACAACTGCATCCGCCCAGCGAAGGCACTTGTTCAGCTGTTCATTACAATCCAGGCTGTGTCTGTGCATCTGTTTTTTTTAAAAAAGGAGGGGGATAAGAAATTATTTGGCTGCAAAGGTCGAAATGAAAGCTACAGGTCTTTCAGATACAGTCTCTCTCTTCCATGTTACATATACGAGTTAACACTGTCCCGGTTTGTTATTCTCCCCTCCCCAAAGTTTATTCTCCTCTCTCCTTCCTGTTGCTTAAACAAGCAAAAACCCAGGTTAAACTGGGTTATTCTGAAGTTTGCTGCACTCAAGTAGAAAACTGACCCGCGTCACTTTCCGTAAAGTAAAATAATTTGTGGTGCCAAAGAATGGGAAATTAACTGGCTAGACAGCCAGTGGGGAATGGAGGGGGAGGCGAACAAAGGTATGAGCTGCAGACATTTAGAGTTGGAGGCTTGCCCAGTTCAAAAAGGCAGATTTTGACCTTACACATGTCTATCCATTTAAACTTTCCATATTACAAAATCCACTCCAAAGCAATTTTAATGAGTACAGCTGCTGGTGCCGTGAGTTGCTTCAATTATGTGTTTATTAAATGGCACTTGATTGGGCCCGCAGCCGTAAAATATGAAAATATTTCTAGGGAAGCAAAAAGAAAAAAAAACGTTTCTTAGTTTTCCAAGAAACAGCTCTTTATCCCCTTAGCAGCATTTCTGGTTTTATTTAGAAAGATTGCCTCCTTAAACGAGCGCTGTGTTTTCAAGTGGGCAAAAGTTGAATTGAAATGGGTTGTTTTCTTTTTACTGTCAGGAGACTATATACAGTCCATTTATCAGGCGTTGACTGTTTACAGTCTCCACTGCCTAAAGTCGGCCTACTTCTCAGCAAACATCTTCAACTCTATTCTTGAAGCTGAGCAACAATGAGGCTCCCTTTTAAATTATGGAATGCCAAGGCAACCACTCACCTGTACTCCAGGTGTATCTTGCACTTGAATTGCAAACAGCTCTCCATCAATTTCAATCTGTCTGCTGTACAGATTACCTGGCAACAGAAACAGAAGTAAAGATGGAATTTTAAGAAAGGATTTACAAAATTAAAAACACTTCTTTAAAAAAAAAAATGACATTGAATTAGAATTGACACGTCATACTTTGAAATTGGGGTGGGAAAACCATCCTAACTTTATTAGACATATGCTTCCATCACAGAAAGTAATTAGCATAATCCTAGGCATCTTATGTAGCCATTCGGTGGGACTAAATTGCAGGTGAGTATGTATAAGATGGCAGCCTAAACGAATAAATAGCTATGGAGAGGTAAACAAACAATAGAAGCACTCATAAAATTAGCTGACGTCGGATGACTTACACATGCTTGCTTATAAAACTAACTTTATGTATAAAGTTACTACTAAAGCCAGGTGCAAAAGAATTTATTAGCTGTCTGGCCCTTTTGTACAGGGCAGTGTTTCTCAATCTTGACAACTTTAAGACACGTAGACTTCAACTTCCAGAAAACCCCAACTTTCTGGGTTGCCAAGGTTGAAAAAACACTGGTATAGGACAACAGCACACTTTGTAGTTAACAGGAAATGTACAGAACAATTACACTGTACCAGGAAAATTAAATGTGTTTACGTTTTCTTCCACAAGAATAAATAATTGCTGCTCAAGACGAGGTTGCCATGTACCCTACACGTGGACACATCTCAGGTTTTTGCAGCATTTTGGCAAAACTTTGGACTGGGTCAGATTTTTAGATGTTTCAGTTAAGTTAACATTGTTGTGTTATTTACCAGAAAGTATGGAAAAATCACATCTCTGCTTTTTAGCACTCTGCAGTGGAAACCCAGTGATGAGATTTGCTCCAACACAAACTCATTTTGCTGCAAATTGCTCCGTTTCTCTGGTTTTTAGTATTTTTAGCTTGCTGGCACTACTGGATCTAATATTTGTGGGATAAACCAGTGTGCATCACTTGAATGAAAGCTACCAGCGGCATCCACAGGGCGTGATCAAAAGTCAAGGTGGAGGCCGCAGGAGTATAACAGAAGCTCCACCTGTTTTGCCAGCAGAGTTTCAATCACCCAGTTGAGGCCAATACTTTTGATATCCCTGACCACATCTTCTGGATACCCATGTAGGCTAATTAATCTGTATTTCCAGAGGTGAAGCTAGCTATACAATAATGGTAGCTGAAACTGAATTTGAGATTGCATCAGAAATATTGTTCCCGCCTCTGTCATCTATTGAAAAAGCTGCTTCCCCCCCCCCCATTCATTTTAATCTGCCTTAGAGAGGCTTCCTCTCCCCCCCCCACACCTGCCCTCATTTACTTTGCTGCAATTCCTCAGAAGGGCTGCCCTTGCTTGTCTGCCTTTTCAGGAGAATAACAAAAGCCCTTTAAAGTTCAGTCCAAAGCCTATTTTACATAAATACCTTGATTACACATAAAGAGAGGAGCGGAACTAACTGATGGGGCTTAAAGCCACATCTTTTAATTTGGAATGCATTTCATTTACGCTGATGTATGTGGGTGGCAGAAGCCAAGGAAAAGATGTCAGAAGTCAAAAGAGTGAACGGGATCTGGAATCCCAGCTTGAGTTGAAGTAAGCCCCAGAATGCTTTTTCTCCCCCCCCCCCCAAAAAGCAGATGATCAATGACTAGTGCAGTGGTGGCGAACCTATGGCACGGGTGCCAGAGGCGGCACTCAGAGCCCTCTCTGTGGGCACGCGCGCTCGCCCCAGTCCTGGGTTTTATAAAACCTTTTCGCTTTACGCCTCCGCCGCCGTGTGAAAAAAAAAAAAAAAAGGTTCAATCAATCAGTCAATTTCAACTTCTCGCAGGAAAAAAAAAGATCTTGCAAAGTTGGAATTGATTGATTGAACTTTTTAGTCCCACCCAGTCTGCCGTTACCACCGCAGCCACGCCCACCCAATGGGCCACGCCCACCCGACCCTCGCGGATGCATAAGTGGGTTTTGGGTTGCAGTTTGGGCACCCGGTCTCTAAAAGGTTCGCCATCACTGTCCTAGGCTAATCTGGTGGAGATTACAAGCACAAACTGACTGGTACGTGAGAATAAATATTATGTTTAAGATATAAAAGGCTTTGGGATTTTCTCAAAGAATAAACGAATACAACTACTGACTACTGTTTGTTGTATTTCCCAAAGGTAACTTTTTACTCAGGGTTCACGTTTCCACTTTTTGTAAAGTTGTACAATGCTATAAAGCCTCAGTATGTGCCACTACACTGCATTAGGACTCCTAGCTGATGATATGATGTGGGCAACAATATGTTGTCTTGAAAGGATGCTATAAATTAGCGGTCACATCTTGCACAGAATATGCAGGCAACTAAAAGGTTCGCCATCACTGGACTAGTGCAAAGTAAGGACAAAAATCTTTGTCCTCTTGCTATAATGATGAATGCCCCCCACCTCACCCCATTTCTTTCCAAGGATGAACATCCACGGTTTGACAAGACTGTTGGGGAAAAGCTTAATATTTCAGACTCTTTCTTACCTGCATTACGTTCATAGTCTCCAATGAATCTCTTTGTGAGAAACCTCACAACCAGGGCTGTAATTAACCAAAAAAAAAAAAGATGTCATTTATCAAGAGGAGAGAAAAAGCCATCACTATTTTAAGGCTTATTAAAACCACTGGTCTGGTGTGTGCATGGTCTGGTGCCCCCCTTCCCATGCACGCACACACACACACACACACACACACAGGCAGATAGCAGATCAGCAACGGATAGAGCAATCCATAGGAATTTAGTCCTTCAAGGAAAAACTCCGGGGAACCAGGGCAACTGGCTGTAGGATAATTAGAGAGGTGTGAAAGTTCAGGTAAATCTAAATTCCTAGTTTTTTTTTCCTAGCTTTTTGTCTCCTTAAACCTTTAGGCTTAAGATGACTGGGATGCCTACTCTTAAAAATCCAGTGGGAATCAGCCTTAATGACAACTCTCAATAGATACGAACCTATCATCCTTTTGTGCTGGGTGTGTGTATGTGTGTGGCTCAATATCATGCCAAGAGGGGATAAATGTCATTTTTTTTTTCTTTCCGCATCCCAAATCCGTGCGCGTGCGGGAAGAACACAAGTAAGATGCGAGAGCTGTCCTCTTCGGTTTAATATTAATTCAAATTACTGAATTAATATTAAAGGAGGAAGGAGGAGAGGTTGTGGGTCCAGGCGGAGGAAGGAGAGGAAAGTGAATGAGGGTGGAGGCAAGGCGGGGGGCTGCCGAGCATCTTCAAAAATGTATCGAGTAAGATTTTTTTTTTTATTTTTTTTGCTTGTGTATGTAAATGCATCATATTGTTATTTGTTGTTCAACTATAAAAATTAATAAAAATTTTATATATATATATAAAAAATATATATTAATTCAAATTACTACATTCCGCAGCTCCCCATTTTTTTTGGGGGGGGGGGAAATCAAATACAAAGCCGGAGTGTCGGTTTGCTCCCTTTGAACTTCGAAAAGAAAGATATATATTGGTTTGGAGAAGATGGATCAGATTATATTGAGTTGAAATATGGTACAAAAAAAATACCATTTGGTTTTTGAATGCATTTTCGATGTTATTTATAATTATGTCAATTGGACGGTATTCAACAACTGTATATTTGTTTTAAAAGAGAGTTCAAGGAAGTTATAGATTTGCTAGATTAATAGCGGATTAATGTTAGTTAGATCATGATTATTTTATTCTTAATCCTGTGATTGGCTCTGGGAAGGGAGGGGGAGGGATGGAGGGTTGGGTTTGGGGGGAGGGGGGATTTCTATTGTAAAATTTTATAAAACTTTCAATAAAATAAAAAATAAAAAAAATAAAAAAGGCGTTTTCTGCACGAGGAGGCACCGCCTTTTGGGTCAAGCCGGCAGGACGAGGCTTCCAATTCCGCAAAAGCAAAATAAAATAAAATAAATTTTAAAAATGGGGAGGGGGCTCCTCCTCCAGCCAGCGCCCCCTCCTCTCCCGTCCCCCCAATAACACTCACCGGTCTTGCCCACCCCGCTGGCGCCCACCACAGCGATCTTGATGAGCCGGGGGCGCCCGGAGGCGCAGCCGTCTCCGCTGCTGGCGCTCTCCGCCTGGGGATACTCGGCGATGGTCCCCATGTTCTGGATCAGGCGCATCGCAGCTGCTGCTGCTGGCGGGAAAGGCGACCAGAGCTGCAGGGAACGCGAGAATCCGAACCGAGCTGGAAAAGGGACCCTGGAGGTCTTCTAGTCCAGCCCCCTCGCTCAAGCAGGAGAAGCCCAAGCAGCGCCCCGCGAGTCGCCGACTACGGCCAGCCTCGCCTCTCCGACACCTTTTTCTCCTCTTTCCCTTGGCTCCGCCTCCTCCTCCTCCTCCTCTTCCCCCCCCCGCCCACCGGTTTCCCGGGAAAAGTTCCGCCCCGCCCCTTTCCTGCGCCGTGCAACCAATAAGGGTCTACGCCGCCACGCTCCGGCTCTCCGCCGCCCCCCGCCCCACTCCTGGCCCCGCCTCTCCCCAGAGCTCACGTGCCCGGGCAGGTTTTGCTGCAAGCGGGGTGGGGGGGGCGCCTCCGTTCAAGGGGGGGGGTTCAATGCGCGGCTCCCCCCCCTTTTTTTTTTTTCCTTTTCTTTTTTTCCCTTTTCTTTTCCCTTTTTTTTTTTTTTTGCTCTTCCCGGAATGGGACTTGGCGACCGAGGTTGCACCTGATTCCCAGCCCCCTGGCCTGGAGGATGGACAGGTTGGCGGGGGGGGAGAGAGAGGTCCCTGAGCGCCGGATGAAGGCAGGAAGAACGCCGCGGTCTGTTTCTGCCGTGGGCAACGTGAATCACGGTTCCTCCTAGGTGGGCAGGAAAGTGGGGTGTTTTTTTACCCGGTCTTGGCTGTCGGTTTTAATCAAATTTCCCCCTCCCTCGCCGGATACTGCTAGGGGCCGCGGAGGTGTAAGGTTTTTGCAGCGCAGCTTTCGATGGGCCCCGGTTCTCGAATTCTTTCCTTAAAGGGAGATTAAAAAGTCAGAGGACACCCTGTTGAAACAGAAAGTTACCCCCCCCCCACAGAAAGACTGCGTCGCTTCCACACCTGTAGTAGAAATTTACATAGATAGATAGATAGATAGATAGATAGATAGATAGATAGATAGATAGATGATAGATAGATAGATAGATAGATAGATAGACCTGTAGTAGAGATTTACATAGATAGATAGATAGATAGATAGATAGATAGATAGATAGATAGATAGATAGATAGATAGACAGACACACCTGTAGTAGAAATTTACATAGATAGATAGGTAGGTAGGTAGGTGGGTGGGTGGGTGGATGATGGATATGCTTGGATAGATAGATATGCTAGGATAGATAGATAGACAGACAGATATGCTAGGATGGATGGATGGATGGATGGATGGATGGATGGATGGATGGATGGATATACTAGGATAGATAGATATGCTAGGATAGATGGATGGATGGATGGATGGATGGATGGATGGATGGATATGCTAGGATAGATAGATATGCTAGGATAGATAGATAGATAGATAGATAGATAGATAGATAGATAGATAGATAGATAGATAGATAGATAGATAGATAGATAGATAGATGTGCTAGGATGGATAGATAGGTAGATAGATAGATAGATAGATAGATAGATAGATAGATAGATAGATAGATAGATAGATAGATAGATAGATAGATAGATAGATGTGCTAGGATAGACAGACAGACAGATGTGCTAGGATAGATGGATGGATGGATGGATGGATGGATGGATGGATGGATGGATGTGCTAGGATAGACAGACAGATAGATGTGCTAGGATGGATGGATGGATGGATGGATGGATGGATAGATAACCTTTATTGTCATTTTTTCCCTGTGGGCACAATGGCACGTTAAAAATGAAATTTAGTTGCTTCCTCTCAAAGTGCACACATACATAACACATTTAAAACATGCTATATGCAACATATGTATAGACCTACACCCTTACATATAAGTAACATATAAATATTATTCGCTGTCCATCTTGAATACATAACGGAAGGAGGATCAATCCTAAAGGTTCACAGGGCTGTGTCCTGGGCATTTTTGCATGTTAGAAAAGAAGCTAAATTCAGTTAATATGCTCCTAACATAAGCAGTGGTTTTTCTGCACCGGCTCTGATGGCATGAATTGGGAGCTAGATACATATACACGTTCGCCTCCTCTTTCTGAATTTTCAGAGTGTGTAGATTGCCTTTATCTGAGTTGGGGTGACAGAGGGCCTGCTGGATCGTGAAACCCCAATTGTCTGTTTGACAGGCTACATGTCTGCCGTGGATGCTGTTTTTTATCATTGTGGCAAAGCAGAGGCTCAGTTGTGTATAACCAGCTGTGTTGGAAGCCCATCACCTGGTGAACTCTGTACACTTTTAATGAGGAACAACAGAGAATTCCTTTTGGTTGTAAAGTCTCCTCTCTAAGTATGGCCAAGCCTGGTTCCAACTTAGTCATAATGTTATTCTAATAATAATGTTATTCTAATTCTAATTCTAAAGGTTATTCTAACCTTTAACGATTTTTTTCCTAAGCTCTCTGAGGTTATCCAACAAGGATTTCTATGTGGAGCTTACCTTCTGAAAGAATAAGCAAAAGTTAAAAGTAACCCTGTTGTTCTTCAAAGTCTCTTGGAAGCACCTTGTTGTTGAAATGCTGAACCTCTGTTTTAATGGAGAAGCCGTATGAACCGACCACACATGGGCCGGTTCCTCCTGTGTCGTCTTGCTGGAGGGGTGTGGGGAGTGGCTCCTTCACAACCTGTAAATTCTTTGCAAAAAAAAATGTAATAATTAATAATCCACCGCTGTAGTAGCAACCCCCAGCATGGGGATTTTTCTGGCATCTTTCTCCACGCCGAGCCAGATCAGAAACCACAGGGAAAATCCACTCTGTAGTTGCTGCTGTAGCAGAAAGCCGCTTCATTCAAACCACCGTAGGACAAAAGAAGGATGAGAGCCAGAACTGAAAAGAAATTAAATTAAATACAAAGGGACTCAACTTTGCTTTGTACTAAGGGTGAGCTTGGCTGGTTGGCAGGGCTGAAGCTTATTGTGTGTGAGATAGGATCTTCGTTACGAAATGGAGGAGGAAGAAGGGAACTCAACAAAACAGGCACACATAAAAGTGGGTTGGCTTTTAAGGCAATCTGAAAGCCGTCTAATTTTCTTCTCCTTTCCCCTAGAAAAAGGGCTGACTAATGCTCTGCAGCTACATTAAGATGTTTATCACTTTGGAAAGCTTTTGTGGCTTGTTAGCTTTCCCGATTTC